ATATATATGTAACTATTTTAAATTATTAATAAAGATATAAGCAAGGCCTCACCTTAATACCAAAAAAAAAAAAAAAACAATAATGAAATGCCAAGTATGCCAAGATAAAATAAAAGAAATATAGACACATTTAGCAACATATAAAGGACAAAAGAATTTTTAGAAAAGAATCCAAAAAGTGATCATTTTAACAGCCTAAAAAGGGCTAAAAGAAAAAAAAAAGTTCAAATTCCTCCATATGTATATACATAATGCTTTTTAAGAAAACAAAAGCAGAAGAAATTAAAATAAGAAAGATACTAATTAAAAATCTTGTTTTAAAAAAAATACAAGACAGATTAAGACAACTTCTAAGTATAAAATCAAGATAGTAATTTATAAATATAATAGTAAGAATGGTCTGAGACATATTTTATGAACAAATATAAAGAATCTGATATGAGAAGATCAATAAATAGAAAAAAAATAAAAAAATAATAGGTAAAATAAAAAAAAGAAAAAAAAAAGAGAGAAAAGCATTAAATAAGAAAGGGAAACCAAATTAGTAAATAATAGAAAAAAGAAAAAAGAAAAAAAATGCAAAAAACAATTTTAAAGCTTGTCATGAAAGAGAAAAGACCCTTTCATTATGAACTTTAAGTAGTTAGATGAGCAACTTACTTCTGTTTAAAGTAATGCAGCAGGTTGTACTTAGGTACTATTAGAATGATTAGATAATGCTGAGCTTAGTTGTTAAGAATATTTATATAATTACAAATATAATTTTAAAATCTTAATAAAGCACTAGCATAACTGCTTAAAAAAAAAAAATTATAATTTGGTGCATTATGCATTATAATGCACCTATTACATTTTAAGATAAATATATTAGTATTATATAATTTTTGTTAATTATATGTATTTATTTAAATTATATAAGAAGTGCATCATGATGCAAATTCATTATTTTAAAAATTTTTATTTTTATTATACAAAAAAGTAATTTCTAGGTTACATCTGATCTTAAATTTTAATTGATTACAATACTTTAACATTAGTACTATAACACTATAAATTAAATCACATTATTTTTAACAATCATTTTTAATTTTAAAAAAATAATAAAAAGCTAACTTTAAAAATAATCTCTAATTTAACAATATACTTAAATTTTTTAATAAAAATTAATATATCAAATACATCTAAAACTACTGTATACTGTTAAAAAATTTAAACAAAATAAATACAATATTAAATAAGATATAATTTGTATTATTAAAAAACATCAGTATTTTTCATTTCAACATCATCAGTGCTTATTCCTCTATTCTTATCTTCTTGCTGACTTGATTCTGTCATTTTTGTTCCACTACACCACAAAACTGTAGCATTCAATTTAGGAAATACTCGCTTATAAAGATTCATCATTACTGTATCCTGTTGTTTTATAGGTGAATCAAACACACATTTCATATACCCGTGTGTACCTAATGATTCTTTAATATGCCCAGTACGACCGTACTTTGTGGTTAATTGAACTGGCTTAAACCATAATACGTCCTCTATTAATGCATGTGATATAGAAAAATACAAAAAGGTGAATTAAAAAAGATTATATAAAATTGAAATACATAGTGAAAACATATTAACATACCAGGATTAAAAAACATATATCTCACAACTGCAGATTTTTTGTTTATTTTAAATGGATATCCGGTCAGAATAATACGCTTTGCGATTATTCGTTTCGGGTCAGAGTTTACGAAAAAGCCGCTAGCCACACATGTTGGTGCTATTGAATAATTAAATAGTTAAATATTACTAAAAGAGTAAATACGAGAATTTATTATAGGACTAACCATTAATGTCACCAGTATCCTTGTAAAAAGTAACAGGTAAGTTCCCGAAATTGATCGGACCATAAATGGTAGCGATGTAAGATCTTCCAGGATTAATAAATTTCTCATATTTATGAACATTATTAGTACCTTTTCCTCCTAGTGTATTTTGCGAGTACAATGGCCTCACCACATACCGACGGAATCCACAATGCATGATAAGCGGATCCTTTGAAAAAAAGTATTTAATCAGCTTACCAAAAATGGACAGTATAACGTAAAGATGGTGATACCTTCGATTTAATTGGTTCTTCGTATTCACTATTTCTTGTTATAAAAAAATTCAAAACAGAGATTTTATGTTCATATTCAAAGAGGCCAAAAACTATAAACGGTCGAGACGGACTATAGGATTCTATAAGGAACACAATCATTACAAACAATAAGAACCGATTTTACACAAATTTCTTTTTGCTTTTTACCTGCTACTTGTTTAGGGACATTAGCTATATGTAGAGTAATGTATGTTCCAACCTAAATATCGCGTTACATCAAAAATGTGTATATGATCAAATTTTATTATATGAATTAATATTTATACCAACCTTTACACCGCTTGCATGGGAAAATGCCTGACTAATAACTCTACTTTTTGTTCTTCTATAATTTTCGAATTGAAAGATCCTACCATAATCAATCGGTAAATTTTCGTTTGGATCCCATGGTGAAGTACGAAAGCTTTGTAAACCTCGATATTTTTGAAAACGGATTCGAGCGGCCTTATCCAATGGTGTGTCCACTTCGTCCGGAAATTCGAGGTCATCTCGGTGTTCTTTTTCTCGACTGGCAAAATATTCCTTTAACCTTTTTTAAGAAAATACGTTAACATTTTTGCATAAAAACAATTGACAGCTAAATTCATTGATATATATACATACTGCCTATCTTCTTCCTCAGGATCCAAGTGATCATTTAACTCACTTTGCTTACTTTCAACTTCAATGTCTTCATATTCCTCATCATAATGAACTTCATAGCTAGACAAACGTGAATCATCGTCCTCATAATACATATTAACATCACCATCCTCATCACTATAGCCATCATCATCATCGTCATCTGAATCCACAATCCATGCAGCCTGATATGAAGATGTTCCTTTAGGAACTCGTTTTATAATCTTCCTCGGAGTTGTACCGGGGAGCGCATTTGGTATATCTTCAGATTTCATCAGTTCAATATGACCTTATATCGAAGATTCGATTGAATGTTTTTTTATTACTCAGATTATCAAATATCGCGCAGTACAGAAATATGTAATAAAAATAACTTGAGCCGTTGGGTACAAGCGGAAACTTTATTCCCGCTTGCACGCATATGAATCAGACTATTTTGAATTAATACCCCATGGTCTTGAGATAATGATTGAGGTATTAATATAATGATCGTATCTTTCCATTTGCGTACCTTCATTACCAGCAATTTCTTCTTCAGTTGGCCATGTTTGCTCATTTTCCATAAAATTTGGTTCATTTTCCGCGACTAGAGATTCCTGGTATTCATAATGATATGTTAACTAAAACATCACGCAACTTGTAAATTCTTCCCAAGTCGAGTGACTTGCCTGTTCTTCCGGATTTGCAATATCCAGAACTTTAATATCTTCTATCTATTAATAAATATTAATTATATTAAGTCATGTGTTATATAAAATATATGGATTTATTGTGAACTTTTTTTTCTACCATTTCTCCATCCTTGGATTGCCTTGGACAGGATGTAATCTAAATCATAAAAATTTTATTAAATAAGTCATTTTATCAATATTAAAATGTATTATTTTTATAATGAAGCCAAAATTTAAAATTACAAACCTGATTTAATTGAAAATCACCGAAGTTCTGCAAATGTATTAAGCGATTTGCGGAAAAAGCTGTTCCCCTAGCATATCCCGTAACTCTAAGAGTTCCCTTATCCTATTATTAGTTGAAAAATTAAATACGAATGTATACATAATTTTGAACCAAAAAAAAACAAGGAATGAAAGTACGTTACTTGATTGTCAGCGTTTTCAAAAGCTAACTTTTCTACAAGCATGTATGGGCGCGTTTCTCTCCATGAAACTTGTTTAGGAAGTTGAGTACATATTGTTCTAAGTATGTTTAGAGCTTCCTATTGAAATATAATTGAAGATTATATAATGTTAAATGTGCAAATTTAAATATTACTTTTTAATAATCTAATACCTGTGACTGGTCTGCAATATGAATTTTCTCTTCTTCAGGAAAAAAATAATTAAGGAAGCTTAAAAGCGATTTTTTAACATCATTGCGTTTCTTTTGTGGAATTTCTTCTAAATACTTTTATAAAACAAGCAAAAATGGTTTACACGAATAAATCTGGAAATTTTTGTTAAATAAAAGTAAGTCCAGCATACCAAAACTGACGATATTATTGACGGAAAACCTTGGGATTGAATGGCTTTAAGACATAATTCTCCAAATTGATCAGCCTCAACTTTTGCTGAAAGCACCAATAACATAAAGTCTGCCACCTTGCATGCATCAAGAATATCAATGAAATTGCGTTCCAAAATTATGAATTGTACTTTTTGCTTGAAACGTTCAGCGCTATCAATTTAAATATAGGATTAATTAATGACCACACAAGTCTTAAAAAAAAACTCACTCCTTACTTCAAGAAAGCAATGCTTTCATTAATTGATGAAGTCGATTGTTCGACGCTTGCATATATATTTTCTACAACATTTAGTGAATCTACATCGGAACATAAAGGGATAACAGCCTAAATGATAACAAATATACAGCTTAATTATTATAGTTTATATAACTCAATCAAATAACCGAAATTAAAACATGAATCAGTGTCTAACGGCAAATAAAAATAAATTTATACCACAATTTTTGGAGTACTATTCCGTCCTTCAAAAAATCTATTGGCTTTTATCAATTCTTCTCTCTTTTTTCTCTGTTCCAACTTGGCAGCGTTGCGGCGATCAGCCTTTGAAATGAAATTAGGGCGTGTGATCGACTGCTTTACAGGTTTACGCTTAACTTTACCTATATTTACTATCGTTATTTCTACGCTTTTTAACCACTTTTGCTCAACTCATGTCTAACTAACCTTTTGCTTTATCTTTTAGAGAACCTTTTGTAGCATGTTTCGATTTAAAAGGTTTGTTTGTTTGCTTAAGAGTAGCTCTATGATGAAAAGGCTTTTCGGAAGGCATTTTAGCTGCCGAGTTCTAAATCAAGAAAATTTAATCAAATTTTTTTTTTTGATCCATCTGATCTATGACGTAACGTTGTCTTTTCACGTTTATTATGGCGCAGTCATCGTATAATAAATTTCTATTTTGTTACATTTAGTCATTTAGTGTTCATTGTCCTTATTATTGTCTTTATAAAATTTACTACCAAGAATAATATGTTAAGGTAGTGACGTTTATTGGCAGAAAAAAAAAATTAGAGAGGTTCTACTAATGAAACTACAGCCGCCCATTAAGTAAAACTCTTCTTATGTCACTTTTATAAAATTCACAAAAATTAAACTTATTAAACCAACTCATTAGCAATATAGTCTAAAAAAAACCCCCAATCCGTCTAATAATTAATTTCATCGATCCTGCACCTGGACAATTGAATTTGATTGATACGAAATATGCAAGTTTCTATATACAATCATCGATATTAAGTAAAATTCGTATAAGCCTTAAACGAGATACTTAGTTTCGGAGATTATGTCTCCTACTTGTCCCAACCACCGCGCAGAGGTGTATCTCGTCGGTTGGGAAGGTAATCCTAGAGGTGGTTCTTGGCACTGAAGCCAAGTTTATGTAGAACTTTGTTATTATTATAAGTACCAATAGCACCTATATCAAACTCCAATCTATCTTTCTTACGTCCCCCTTACGAATAGATTCTTTTACGAAGCTTAGTTTAGTTTGTTAATAAAAGCACGTACGAATTCTGTGCCAGGTTATGACGATCATTTATCATGAGATAGTATTCGGGTACACAAAATGTGATCGCAATATTTGTGAACCAATTCTATGCGTGTCGTGTAACATTTAGCATTTTGAGTGCATATTACTGTATAGTTATTTTTTTTTTAACCTTAAGCAGTTATGCTAGTACTTTATTAAGATTCTTTTTTTATTATTATTAAACTAGTCTTTTGGGGACTAGGGCTTTTTTATTTAGTATTGTAGGACACGATAACTCATGGTCCAATTACCTTAGAGGAGCTACCTTACATTAGAGAGTACATTTAGTTACATGTACACTTTTGGTGTCTAATTTAAATAGTTCGCCTATATATAGGTTTTATACTAGCTGTCATACCTGCAACTCAACTACAGGTGTTGCTTATTTAAACCTTCTGTATTACAATTCTTACTGTTATCACTAGAACATCTCCATTACATGATGTTAATCAAGAAGTTCTAGATGTTTATTCATACCTTTAGGATTCCTGTCTTATTTTATGCAGATTATCCTCAAGACATCATTACTAGAGCCTTCTGTATTCCAAATTACAACTAAATCTAGTTTACAACTCTTGTGAAGTTTATACAATCCCAGTATCCTTCTTTTACAACCTCATCATTATCTTATCTACCTTTGCAATCTTTCTATACTACTAATTCAATTATTCCTACATGATATGACTTTATGTTCAGATCAACTAGTAGCTAGGTTGGTGAACCTTCTACTTAGAGGTTCTTGTTCGTACAGGTCATCTGTCCCAGGTTTTTTTCAGCAGATCAAAATTTTCACAGATGACACTATTGAAAATTGTATTACTTCTCTATTCAGAATTACCAAGCAAGTTTTTAATCTGAGTATATACTTTCCAGATTTATTTGTGTGATATTGTATATTTCCAAAATTAGTCTTGGTATAACCAGAATTACAGGATCTACAAATCCCAGATCACAGATAAGTTTGCCAGAATAGGTCTATTTTTTTAAAATCTGTTGCAGATAGGAATTGAACATTGGACCTATTGCTTGAAGGATGACAATTCAACCACTACACTAGAATTGCCATCCTCTTATTAAGATTCTTGAAACTATATACATATATAATTATATAAAATTTCCCAATATCTAAGTCTAGCATCACTTGGTCACTCTTATAGTACTTAAGTGCAACCTGTCATATTATCTCAGTTAGAGATAGACTGCTCGTCTAATTACTTAAAGTCATATCAGAAAGATCTCTTCTTTTTTGTAACAAGTATATTGATTGTTTTCAAAACTTCTTTTTTTATTTAATTTGCTTTTTTTATTTTTCTTTCTTTTTCTTTTTCTTTTGTTTGTTAATTCTTTCTTTTTTTTTTTTTTTTTTTTTTTTTTTAACTTAAGCAGTCACGCTAGTACTTTATTAGAAATCTTGAAACTATACAAATTACAGAAAATTTTTCTAATAACTAAGTCTAGCATCACCCGGCCACCCTATTGGTACCTAAGTGCGACCTGCCGCACTACCTCGAGCAGAGGTAGGCTGCTCGTCTGACTGCCGCACTACCTCAAGCAGAGGTAGGCTGCTCGTCTGACTGCCACCCTACAATAGGATACCACCAATCTGATGAC